GAGAAATTCTGCATTTTAAATGCTTCTAAAAACAGATAGACCAGAACTAATCTTAGCCCCAGCCTGAGCGCCAGCATACGTCACATAACTCAGCTTTATCACTGCAGAAATCATATGAGGTAAAAGGATGTTTGGAATCAGCTTGCCATGGTGATTTATACTAACTGGCCTTTGCTCAGTTCTTAGGATTCTTATTCAACTGATAGGTTGTGACCTGTCAAGAGCAAGGTCAGAACTTCCAAAACCAGTTGTAGCTCCAAAAATCATACACTGACTACATGAGGATTCTGTAGTCATGCAAAGGGCTGAGCAGGAGTTTTTGGCCAAGGTGTTTGAGCCACACAAAAAAGGAAAAGGGGAGTTTGGCTATCATGCAGGGATGTTATCATGCCCCAAGGAGTCTGCTTAATCCCATTTATGGGACCCTGTAGCTTTATTAGATGAAGCAGTGGGAGTAGCGATTTTTGTAACTGCAGCTCCATGCAATACTCAACAGGCAAAAATAGATGCTGAGAAAAAAAGAACTCCAGCACATCTGAGGAAGAGAAAATGGGACAATAGCAATAGGCTTTACTAGAAGATGACTGCTGGGAGTATTCTGGGAGAGTATTATCCAAAGCTTTTTAAAAAACCAAACAACAAACAAAAAACAAATGCAACATCACCAAAGGGTGAGTCTACTGAAGAAGAGTTTGGGAATACCAAGGAGCACTGGAAAAGTCTTTGCCATCATTGAGGATGAGCCTGTGCAAGGGTGAGAAAGTGCCGAGAAAGACTTGGGCAAGGTGGGGGTGTGTGGGGCCCCACCACTGGGAATAAGGCCAGGGGAGATGGTGGAAACTGAAAGTCACAATATGTAAATCTGAGCTTCTTGCCAATTTATGAAGTTGCATCATCCCTGACAAGCTTTTCACTTCAGGGAAATAACCTTGAAGGAAAAGAGATTAGGAAATTGTCACTGGCTCCTGTCAAAACTGACAAGCAGTTTTCCATTCTTTCAGTTTCAAGTGACTGTTTTGAAATTTACACTTAATTCCTACTAAATGTTTGCAGCCCATGACCTTTCAGTCAGCAGTCTGGATAGGAAGGATTTTTTTATTTTTTTTTTCTGTGAGATCCAAAATAATTTCCCCATCTTTCCAAAGCCTGTGGTGGGCTGTGTCCAGTTTAACATTCAGCAGGGATGGAAAGCCAGGAAGCCTTGTCCTTCTGCCAGTCTGCTCACTGTGCCATGGCTTTGCTTGGAGCTTAGGAAAAGACAAGGCAACACAATAGCCAAATTGCTCTGTGCTAGTAGAACAAGTTTAACAAACTTGGGACAAATATGATCTATTTTGGGACCCTTTTTGTTACCAAGGTTGATTATGCACCTTACCTCTTCTGGTTTGCTTGTGTGGTTTGTTGGATATTCATTGTCAGCTGTCACTCCCAGGCTGGATTGAAGCATGCCAGAACAGCCACCTGCTCAAGGCAAAATTCAATAAAGTGATATTTAAGAAAAAAAAAAAAAAAAAGGAAAAGGCAACAACAGAAAACAAACTTGGATTAACCCCAGGATTCTTTGCTATGGAAACAGGTTGCTTAGAAACTACCCCAGAGTTAGTTTGAAAATGTAAAAGTCAAGTTGTTCTTTAAGCTGCAGAGCACTCCAGGCTATCAGGGATAATCACAGCCTCGAGCCATTATGGGCACCAGAGGCAGTGAGTTCTCCAGGGTCTGAATAATCTCTGAGGGTCGCTCTCCCTGGAGCAACTGATTGGGAAGAGGTTGGAGAGCAGAGTGTCTGTGCTGTGAATGTAAGAGCTACAGCTGTGTGTGTGCTGGGGATCAGCAGCCTGCTGCACAATATTCCCAATTTCCACGTTCCCTTCACAGCAATTCCTTGTCCTTGCCTGCTCCCATCCCAGCCATAAGGAGCAAGGATTATCTCTGCAGCTGCCCACCAGCAGCAGCCCATTGAAAACTGGGAGCTGGTGTTTGCTGGCACACAGAGAGAGCCATGTGCTCCCGCTGTCACAGCCAAGCTGAGGGCAGGGCAGTGGCTGGAGAGCTGGAGCCAGGATGGCAGCAGTGACAGCTCCGTACCGTGGCCCTGCCTGCCCCTCACTTGGGTTGGCACTGAGTGGGCCAGTCCTCCCCTTCCAGTCAGCAGAGCTGCAGGAACAAAGCCATAGGAATGAGGAGTCCTGTGAGCTCACCTGCATCTGGCCAATCCACAGAAAAAAGGCTGTGTTGCTGAGGCAGTTGTTGCCAAGCCCAGCTATCACCATAGAGCACATTCCCACCGGTTTCTCTGGAGCAGGCAGATAGGCACTGCCAGCACCTTTGGGAGGGGACACTGCCAACAGCTTCAGTGGTGGCATCTCCCCTCTTGCTGTTGAGAGACCTGCACTGAGGGTCAGGCAGAGAGGCAAAAACAACAACTTTGGCTGTGCATGAGTAAGGAGTCACATCCACAGGGTTATTGTGAAGAGGAGAGGGAGCTCTCTCCTACCTTCATCTCATTCCTGTGCTCTTTCACGTTACCCGTGGCACTGCACTCCCTTTCAGAGGAGAGCTGCTCAAAGGGATTTCTCCCTGCTTTACATTGGAAGCAACCTCACTTTAGGGATGAAAGCTCTTCCAGGAGAAATTTGGACAGCGATCAGATCTGGATTTTGTGTGGCTTTTGTAGCAAGTGATCTTTGCTTTTAGAGAGGGAGCTCAGTCCTGTGCTTCTTGGGGGAGCAGAGACAGACCTACTTGATTTCTCTTCCCATTATCTGACCTGGCAGCTGTTCTCCTCATAGCTCCGTGATTTCACTGAAAACTAGAGACCTGAAGACACACAGCTGGGCTTTACTAGGATCTTGGAAAACTAAACCATAGGTGTGGTGAGTGCTGAGTGCCTTTGGTGCTCACAGAGCACTCAGCACCATTCAGGAAGAGGCCTTGCAAATTCCAGTCTAATTTTGTTCATGGCACAGCCGGAGTTTAATACCAGTTAAATCCAGTACACCTTCTGTGCCTTAAACCCTGACACAGACCTAGCTAAGCCCAAAGGTTGCTGCAGGGAAAACTGGCAGGAGGGGGTGGGTAAGTGTAGGTCACACAAATCAGCATTTGCTCTTTCACTCCTTGAGCTTCCTCCTCTTCAGCAGCAGCTGTGTCCCAGCAGCTCACAGCTGGAGCCCTGTGTGAAGGGCATGCTGGAAAGGCAAATCCCATCTTACTGAGGTATGGAAATGCAAAGTGAAAACTGTCAGCACAGCAGTAAATCTGCAGAGGAAGTTGTGGTTCCTCTTTTCCTTCATTCTGTGTTAATAAGGGTTGTGTTTGATTTTGGTTTAAAATCCTGCTTTGTGAAAGGTGCTGTGCAGAATGACAAAAATTTGGAGGCAGCTAATAAGGACTTGGGATGGTGGGAGATCTCACTTGAGCAAAAAGCCCTCAAATACAGCATTGAGCTTCCCTTGGGACCCAGCCTAGGCAGCTGAACCCAAATGGGGGACAAACTCCTCTTGGGTTTGCCACCTCTGAAAAGGCAGAGAAGCCCAGATGGGTTAACTCCCTCACTCCCCAAAAACCAGAGAGGGTGGTGAACAGCACAGGCAACTTCTCCCAAGATCTGTGCAGGATCTGAAAGATCCCAGATATGCACAGTGCATGCAGTCACCCACAGACACATCCCCAGCATGTGGATCAGGCAGGTTTATGCTTGTGCTAGCATCAGCTCACACAGTGCCAGCACCAAGCCCGGGTCAGTTCTGCACCAGCTGCTTGTTTGATACCTGTAAGTGACTGTGTGGTATCATAAATATTTTCCTCCCATGTGCCAGTAGCTGTGAGACACAGAGCTGCTTTCTTAGGCACAGGGCCACTGCACTGCCCTCTGTAAAGAGGCAAATTTGCGCAGCTGCCAGAAGTTGCCAACAGCACCAGAGCTTTCCTCAGCTCTTAGTAACCCTGCTGGGTGCCAACCAAAAGGCCTTGTCCTTACTCTTCTTTCCCCCCTTCCTACTGTTTTCCAAAGTGTTTTCCTGCACTTGATGCACGTGGACCCTGACAGCACCTGGCTGCTCCTGAGTGAGGTGTGCTGCCCCGAGGGGTTCGAGCCCCCCCATGCCAGCCTGCAGCCGGTGAAGCTCAGCGGGATGGGGCGGCCACGGAACGAGCTCACGGACAACGTGCTGCTTCTGCTCCAGAGACTGCAGCAGCAGGAGGCCACAGGTCCCAAGACCAGCACACAGGAGGCATCTCCTTCCTGACAGACCTACGCAGCAGCTGGGATGGGAAAGAGGAACCACCAGGATAGGGCTCACCTGAGATAACACCCTCACTGTGAACCCAAATGGTTCAGGGGCAAAGGAAGGGCTGCCCAGTCTGAGGCACTGCATGAGACATCCTCCCTGTGGCAGAAGGTTTATTTCTTGAAGCATTGTTTGAAGATGAGGTGGGTACATGACCCTGACTCCTCCTGACTTGTGCCTCACCAGAACCGTATGCAAAGAAAATGGCACATCTATTCCAAATTCTTCAATATGAAGAGTGAGTCATCTTCCAGAACTTCCTAATCCTTGATCCTTAGGGGGTTGCCCTTTTAGCACCCCCCACACCTCTGATCTCTTCACAGCTGTGATGATACCTCCCATTCTCAGCTGGATAGTGACTGACAAAGCAAAAGCTTTTTCTGTCCTTTACCCTTCCCAGGAGGAGAATCTTGTTTGGGTGCACTATAAACCTGTTCACTTTAAAAGCAGTTAATCTCAGAAGTTGAAGTGCATTTCCAATAAATTCCTCACCTATGTTACTGGCAAGAACAATGCGTCCTCTCAGAAGCACCAGGGCTGCTCCTCACAGCTGCAGTTTGCTGAGACCAGATGGAGGCGGCCAAACGTGCTCTGTTCTCTATCTCACTCTCTGTGAGGTTCTGTAGAGAATCAGCCAGCCTTGATTTATACCTGGGAGTGATTTACAGCATCTCCCATGCCCAGATCACAGTTCTCAGGCTATTTCTAATCATCACCCCAAGATGAAGGACCTGCCTGTGCCCCAGAACAGCCTCTGTATCTGTCTGGTCAGGCAGTGCCAGGGCCTGTGAGCACCCCAGCAGTGCCATGGTTTGTCAAAGGAGGTGCAAGGTGGTACAGTGGGCAGAGGATGACTCAACTTTGGGGTCAGCTCACTCTCTCTGCTGAGAGGCTTCTCCCCTGGTCTCCAGCTCCCACATCCCCAGGCTCTTGCTGCAGAGATTGTCCAGAGGCACTGCTTTGCTCAGCTGCTCCCAGATCCCTCAGCTTCCCCAGAGCAGCTCCTGGCAGCAGGCTGCCTCCTGACACTCGGGGAAGATCTATGCAAGTGAAGCAAAAGGGCAGATCTTGACTAAATTTGGAAGCAAGCTCAGAAATACAAAAACCAAAGTAATAAATAGATTGTTACATGGAACAGGCTTTGTGCATCACTGTTGGGATCCTGGGTGAACATCCAAAACATGTCTCTGCTGGTGGGCCCAAGGGCACTGTCTCTGCTGCCACATCCCTCAGCTGAAGTTACTTCCCCTTCTCTCCCTGATTTAATTCAGGCTTTCCTCCTGTTTGCTTCTTCAGGGAAAACACAAGTCAGTGGCTTTTTATCCAGTAGGACAGGGCTGCAGGTCAGCTTTACTCTTTTTTAATATCTGTTCAATGCTTAACGCTGGTTGGGTTCTATACAAAGGAGCCTTCAGAGCCGCTCTGACAGGGCAGGCAGGGAGGTGAAATACTGTCTTTGGTTTCCAAGCGCCCTTGGGGCTGGTGCAGTTTTCTGGGTTGTTGTAGCACTTGACAAAACTCATCCATTAGGTGCAGATGCTGCATCCAGCCTCGCTCTGCTCAGCTGTGCTATGGTGGGGACTCCAAGGACCCAGCCTGCCCATGCCAAGGCTTGCCATCCTGCAGGACAGACATGTGATTGAAGGGCAACATTGTCCCATCAGTGCCCAGGAGCCAACCACATCACCCAGCCAGGGCTCTGGCACAGCTGACACCCTCACCCAGAGCCTGTGATTTAGTGTGCAGTCTAGAGATTCTCCCCACAGCCTCAGCCCCAGCCAGCAGGTAGGTGCTGGTGGCAGAGAGGCTGTCCTGCCTGTCACAGTCAGCTCCTCTCAGCTTCGTTATCGCCCCTGCTTTATTGGAGGCTGAGTAAATTGCTTTTGTCTGAGGCAGGATAATAGCTGGGAGAGGGACTGCATGGAAATGGCATTTTCATGAGGCAGGTTCCTCCCCAGCAGTGACTTGCATATTAAGCTCAGCCCCTTCACAAGCCATGGGGTTTCCCCACCAGAATGCTCATCCACCAAGCAGCCCCCAACACTGGGGTGGAGACCCCCAACTGCTCCCCTCCAGCCACCCTCTCTGGGATCAGAGAGCCAAGAAAGCCATGTCCAGCTGTCTCCTCCATGCACAAACCTGGCCAGGACCCTGGGGGACTGCCACACCCAGGGCTGGGGGCACAGTCCCATGCACAGCCCCTGGCACCAAGCACTGCTGAGCCATGCACACGGGTACAGCAGGGACTTCTCCTCAATTCCTGCTCCCAAAATTTCCTATAAACAGAAAAATTAATCTTTTCCAATAAAATCTGTTATTGTTAAAGCTCACTTCCAGGTTTTACAAATCACTATGCTGCACAGCAATTTGTTTACTCCCTGTTTGAGGTGATTTGCAGCCTCCTGCCCGCCCTTAGCGTGTCCCTGGGTCTTCCTTTTCCTCTGCTGTGTCCTGTGTTTTGCTGCACTGGTGACCAATGCATCCCAATCTCTCTTCTTCCCCCAGTAATCCCATTCCCTGGCTGGGAGAATTTTAGCATAGCCCCAGCCCCACAGCTCTGCCAGGGATCCCTACGGCACAGCCACCATTGCTACTTTTGGCAAAGTGGAATTTTGCACCAGCAGTGTCTCCTTGCCCTATAGCTCCTGAATGTTTTTCTCCTGTGTCCTTTGCTCCCCAAGAGCTCAGCTCTCCAGGTGGCAGAGGTGATCGTGGCTCCAGAGACACCAGCCATCTCTGCCTGCTCCTACCCCAGGCTGACATGTCTGGTGACAGAAAGCCACCAGCTCTTTCTCCTTCTCATCAGCACAGCAAGGGGTGAGCATGATGGAGGTCCAGGAAGTAACAAGCTAACTGCAAAGTAGCTGCAGGACTCCAGGCAGCTGGGCTAGGCTGGGCATTGCCAGTGCTCCGAGTTGTTCTCCCACTGGAGAGGCAGAGCCAGGCCCCAGGGGCAGCCAGCACCCTGCTTTGGGGACCCTCACCTCCCACCAGGCTGGAAATCTGGTCTGGATGCTCAGGTGAGTGTCAGGATTTCACCTGGCAGCCCTCAAGGCTCCCAGGCTGGGCAGGGGCTCCCCAAGCTGCAGCATTTTAAAGCTCTGAGCCCTCAGCTCAGCTGCAGGTGATGATGTTGATGCCCAGGCTCATCCCCATCCCCAGTGGCACCAGTGCAGCAGCCCCAGCTCTGCCCCTTTTTTCCCAAAACCATGCCCCCTTGCCGTGCCACAGACAGAACAACAGATCCACAGAGGCTTCCTTTAAAGAGCTTTATTAGCTGCAGCAGGTCTGATGGTGGCAGGCTGGGGGGCAGTGGGGGAGCAGTGCCCCGGGACCCCCCTCTCCCTCCCCATAGCTCTGTCCCAGTGGCCGTGGTCACCGTGGGGGCAGCAGGGACGGGCTGTGCTGTTTGCACTGACACAAGAGCCCGTGGGACAGACCCTGCCCGGGGCAGTGTGGTGCTGTGGCCTGGGAGGGAGGGATGCTTCACTGAGAGGGGGCCGAGAGCCACGGGCAGCGGGATGGGGCCAGGGTGGACGGGGCTGGCGGCTGAGAGCCCCATCCTCTGTGAAAGGCGAGGGGAGGAGGAGTGATGGGTGCAAGGGGCCAGCTCCGATGGCACACCTTCCAAGGCACACACTGAGCACGGGCAGCTGCCTGGCTGAGCGATGCCAGAGCGTGCCGGGAGGGTGCCAGGAATGTGCCGTGCCGTCCTTCCTCTGCTGAGCTCAGGCCTTGACGTGCTGGGGGCTGCGGGGCAGGCAGGGGCGGGGGGGATACACACGGGCTGTGGGATGGAGGCTGGAACTTAGATACGCACTGTGGGGCTGGAACCGAGCA